ACGCTGTCCCTTTAATCGGAGAAATAGAGACAAGTTAGTCAACTGAAGACAACAAGGGCAAATGAGGAGCCAATTCTGGGTGTTTCGGTGGAGTCTTCAGCAAAGAACGATAGATGAACGCCACCCCTACAACAGCAGCGCCGACTCCTACCTGGAAACCCTCTGTGGACATCGGCTGAAACGATACATTTAAGGTGGGTGTTATTCTCGACAAGGGAAAATTATCGTAACCAGACGAGTAACATTCGAGACTGCTCAAACGGCTCGCAGCATAAGCCCTAGGCCTGTGGATTTCTAGATGCAATCCCTTTCCTTGAGATCACAGTAACTATCTTCCCACAGCTCCGTAAGTGCATATCAAAGCTCTCACTGAGTCACTGTCTTCAAGAATTTGTAATACAGCTTAAACTCGGGTAACAGAAGTACACCACATAAAGCTCTGAAGGCATACTATAAGTACAATGCTAAATTATGTGGCTCCTTATTCCTCGTGCTTTCTTTTGATACTCTAGTCTTCAAAACTGTTTCCCAAAATTCTAAGGTAATTGACTTCCCCCCTCATGCCTCTATGTTCCTCTTTCTCATCCGATATGCAGATTATGACCGCACACTCAGCACCGAAATCTTATTCAGCATGAGTGAACTATCGCTCTTCTTGCCAACTAGAGAAGCAAAAAGTGGAAGGCAATTCATCCCAGGCTACTACCCCCTGAAACTCATGGCTGTAACTAGAATTGAATCTAGAAATGTTGGCAATAAATCCTGTTTGCATCCAAACATGCATGTTTTCGGCCGCTGACAACCACTCACCTAGAAACGAAGCTAACCGAAAGTGACTTCATATGAAACGCCAACCTTGAGGGCTTGTCACATGGTTTAATGATGGGACCTTATGCATACTGTACCGTAATATGGCAACAGTAGCTGGACAGAATTGCACCCGTAGCTTAGTTTATTCAAACCACTCTTTTTACAACACCGCGGACCCAAACAATGGCTGAACTTTGCATGACGCTATGAAAAACCACACCCGAATTTGCCATCTTTAGACGACGGAAACTTGATGATTACTCATATATTTTCAGCTTCATCTGTGCTCAACATTCGATGTGCAGTATACTCTTACTGGTCATATGACTCACCACTGTCTGGCACTGCTCATACTGAGTGATTTTACCTATATTACTTTTCACTGCTGCTGCTCAACGACATGGCTTTTACCCAATATTTGTGATCAGCAGTATCCAAACAATTGCCTACTCCGGAAGACTATATGACGCGTGGATTAATTCTTTCTAAACCTTCCCACCTTTACAAAGAAAAATTACATTCAGATATTGCCTATATAAATGGCATGTGTTCGTATGGTTCATTACTCAAAGTGTACTATTTTCATTGTCCATCCTTCGAGGAGTATCAACATGTAACCGTTGGGATGCCATAGTCACACCTTTCCAAACACAGGCTGAGGGTATTATTAGCTGAATCGGGCTGATATACCTGATAGTTGGTAGAGTTAAGGTGACTGGAAAGGCATTCAATGAAGGTAACATGGTTCATCTAGAAGGTAGACTTAGATATCCTGTCCGCAGCATGGCTTTTCGGAGGTCCTTGGGCTGGGAAAACCTTTCCTTAGCAGCAGAACGTTGGTCATATTCTTGGATAACAGAGAGCACACTGACGTCATTTTGGTGGACCTTGTTAAGGTCTTTGACAGAGCATGTTTTTCCGGATAATTGCGGAAATTGCGAAGATTCCAGGCCATCGGCAACCCCATTGCATGAGTCGAAGAGTTGTTCGTTGGTGGGAGCTGAGGAGTAACTACCTTCTCCTTTCTAAACTTTGGTTTAGTTTCTGGTATGATGAAACAAATACCTGCACATATTTTCTTACACATAAATGAACTGAAAGCATTACTTAGTCTCCCAAGATTCTCTTTTCTAACCAGGTAAAATCTCTCCAGAATAAGAGGATGAAGATGATATATGCAAACTTTAGATAGAACTCAACACTTTGCCAACCTGACCAGAAGAATGTTTGTTGCTGGTCTACGAATGCAAGTGTAACTATGCTTTCGGAGGGGGTAAATGTTGGCGTTCAGAAACTTGTCAGGATAGCCTTATCCTCCGCGGCGACTTATAGTAGTTTACCGACCGTGGCCTTGGCTTGAAAACCACAGCCTCCTGTCAGTCAAGTGTTGTTGATAGTTTCAGCATTCTTCAGACAACACTTTCAACTTCTACAATTAGCAGTCACGACATATTGAACATCATTCACATGACATTGGTTAACCCCAGAATGAAGGGCTGTACACAAATAGCGAGTCATTGCTTGAAAGGTGACTTAGGCCTTCTGGAACGACAACGGGGGATGTGCAGCCTGAATTTCGAAAAAAATGACTTCAAAAGCTCGAACTATTTTCTCCATAATATTGCAGATTGAGAGGAGTCTTGACCACGTATTGGAGAATTGAAGGATCTAACCTGAGACTCAATATGTCTCCTGTCTTTGTGCTCAGTGGGAGTAGCAAGAGGTCAAAAATGTATGGGAGCGAACGTGATCACTTAAGCACACCGGTTTTTGCACTGAGTGGCCAACCCCCGCCATTATCAGTGTGAATGGGATACATTACAATAAAACATGACACTGAATGGATTGCGTATAGCGAGCGTGATAATGCGAAATCAAAATCCCCTGCAGAAAAATAGAACGCTAGACTAGCTCAGATATTTTGATGGTCTTATTGGACGTTGGTCTGACCTGCCACGGTTCGGCTAACGGGTGCATGTTGAGGTGGCATGAAGGGGCTTGGCAACTGGGACACTAGCAATGAGTGCTCAATGGTGTGAGTCTTGAATGCTGTCCATGCCAGCCGGAGAGACTCGCAGCCATACCCATGCAGATGTTCCGACACTGAGCCCCCACTGGCTACCCTCAAGTACGATCTGGCACAGAATGCAGATATACCCGGGCTCCCTGATGCACGGCACAGGTCACCATCACTCGGCCTAGTTCTTACTCACTAGTGCGAGGGTGTTAGCAACCGCCAGCCCCTCCACCGCTACCAAACGACAACCATGTATTTCTTACCGTATGGTAACGGCTACATTGTCTTGATCCAGAACCGGCTACTCGTTTTATGAATCGATGCCTGACAGTGGTAAGAGAAATAGTAACTTAAGTGGTCTGGTCTGCCAATGCAGATAGGAGCCCTTTTGCGGACCTCCGTGTACTGATGGTCACATCCAGAGGCGGTTATAGAGAAGGAAGCACCACCAGGGCTTTTTGTTAGGAAGGGGTCATTTTGCACCCAAGTAACTGTACAGCGAATTTTAGAACTTTTCAAAGACTGGCATCCGTACACGTCGAACTGAATGTGGAAAGCTATCACTGCGTGACTGTGCTGTCCTTCTCAAAAGATTCTACTTATACATGAGGCACGGGACCATGGTTTATAACTAACCCTCCACCCTACTTCCAAATAGGACCGTAGGTGCCGTCGTATAACCAAACTCTGCAAAGGCTAGAAACCTATCGAAATGCTTCAATGGGACCTTTTCGGCAGAAAGTAATGTGAAGTTAGGCATGACCATCTCCGAGGTCCCACAGATAGGGCCTTTTTGGATTGTGAAGCGGTGACTGGGTTGTCGATTAACCTGAATGCTGGTAGGTCGCCTAACCCTGACAGTCCACACAAGGTGCTGGTGAAGAGAACGTGGAAGAAAGAGATAATAAGCTGCCTGCTGACGTGATTCTTGTGGTTTTTGGTGAGGCATTCGACAAGATGTCCTGCGTGGGCCTCTGAGGAAGCCCTTAGACTTCGGTATAAAAGTCAGCATCCTAGAGGGGTCTGGCGAATACCCACACCAGAGGAGGCAAAGTATCAGGGTGAATGAAGTACTATCTGGGTGGAAACCACCTAACAATGAGGCTCTCCAGGGCACCATACTAGCACCTCTTATTTTTTGAGCCACATTAATGAATTACCAGCTTTACTTAGGCCGTGATGTTGCACATTCAAAGATGGAGTCGAAGTTTTGAGGGTCTTTCATTACGATGAAGATACGTTAGCACTTTTGGCCGATTAATTTGATTTTTCTGAATGGTTTGGGTGCTGGAGGCTGAAAACCAACGGTATCAAACGTGCAGCATTGCACACTGGCCAAAAGTCGTGCTATAGTTACTCAATAAATGGGTCGCTTTGCCTGTATAAGGGAAAGAAATATTTAAGGGTTGCTGATGGATTTAACCTGGAAATAATGGGCTTGGTGAAGACATTCTACTGAAAACGGGTGTGTCAGCGAACTACTTCAAGCTTTGATAAATGAAGACTGATGGACCCTTGCACATTCACTCATTGGCACCAGCTACAATTCCAGGAAAAATACATGTAATGTAAGTAACTAGGAAGTAACACAAACCTTATATTCTCTGAGTTTATGTCAGTGCAGTGATGCCTGCATACTGAGATTTCTCTTGCAAAACTCTGTGTGAGAATATATATATCTAACACCATACGTAAGACATCTCCAATACTGTACGAAGGTAGCTAGTCCCTGGTTCAGGGAAGAAGCAGACAGTCTGGAAGGAGTAAAACGGGCGAACAGTGAGCAGGTGAAAGGAAAGTTTGAAAGTCTCAATCTGTCCAAATTATCATATTTTAGTGAAAGAGGTGATCCTATATTGGTCATTCGTATTTTGAACGATTTGGGTGTTGATCACTCTGAGCGTTATGACCCTTCCAGAACTAATTATGTAAGAAGCCATCGTAAAATGGTTCAAAAGTAAAGGCTGAATAAACTACTAGGAGAACACAAATCTCACAGGGTAGTCAGCCACTGAAGCCAATGACTAGAACTTGTGGTAACAGCTCCTTCGTGAAGGCTTTCAATAGGAAGCCGGATCATTGCAGAAGTGTATACTGCAAAGATTGATGTGAGCTATTCAGGCATATCCTCGTAAAACTGAAAACTTGTTTAATTTTGTTTAGGATGTTGTCCGGTGTTTAGCGCCTAATGCGTAAGATAGGCTTCGTTGGCGGCATTTTGCTGTGAATCAAAGTTTATGAGTTCCCGAATGAAGTGGGATCAGACATCTGATGGGAGGGTATAATAGCAAGCTAACAGTATCAAAAGATGATCCAAATCATGCGAACAGGCTAAATATTCTCGAACCTAGTGAGAATTTTAAAGCGACGAACATTAGTGGAATGGATGGTAAATATTCACCTTCATGATTTTCTATAGTTACAGAAAAACCTATTGGTACTCGTTCCTGCATGAAAATGGACGCCCAAAATGCTGGGGATACTGTGATACCAAGCCGAGGGGAAATTATGATAGTACTGTACGACTTTTCCGAATCAATGAGCTCTCAGATCAGTATAAAGCGAGGTCAGTTTATTACATCTGATAAACATAAACAATTTGCCGAAAAAATGTTCTGTCTGATTTCCGCTCATGGGTTGTGCATGGTATCTAAGCCTATGACAACGAGGAACACGCAGAACTGCAAGAGTGGGTTATACTGGGGATAATGTGGAGAGTAGTGGTTGAGACTGCAGTCAATCAAACTTACAAAAATCACGTTTATTCATTAAACAGCCTGGATCCTGTAACAGTTGAGCCGATGAAAATGACTCTTCAAGGAGCTTCAACTCCAGAATGCAGTATATCACCACTTATGTCAACAGTCATTACAATTTACCTACTAAAAGGGAATACTCACTCTTGTAGAGCATCCATATATTTCTATGGGCTGAAGTAAGGGGCAGGGCAAATTAAGCAGCCGTCGTTTTTTAAGCTAGCCTCTAGTATAGTGCGATTGACTGTACAAATTAGTCTGAAGAGCATTCGGTTAACCTGGGTTTTTTTCTTGGACTAAACATTTGTTCAGTGTACAAGCGTTGTTGAGCAGATTTTGACTGGGATAGTGAAGTAGGTGCTAGGGATGGTTATTTCTAAAGGTTTATTGATGCACCTCAGTTTATTTTGAGTGGCGTTGAAACTTTTCATATTGAGATAGTCTACTGTAAAAAAAAGTAATAAAGATTGCATGCAACCTCTCAACGGATCATAGTTAATCAATGGGTCTTGACAGCTGTATCTCAGTTAGTCCTGCAGCAGATCCTCATTTTAGTGCTATCCGAGCAAACTGAGGAACGAATTCGGCTTGCATGAAACTGGCTAAGTGTTTGCATAATGAGTGGGAATCGGAAGCAACGTTGGAGAAGAGAAAAGCGACTAGTTGTAGGCAGCTGTTTTATTTTATTAAGGAAGCAAGCAATAACGTAAACGGTCTGTTAAGTATAACCAAAAAAGACACCAGTAGTTCACTCACAGGAAACTACTCAGACGATGGATAGAACACTGATGAGAAAGTCTTCAACTGGATTAAAGCTAACCAGTCAGTTGTTCACTATCCACCTGAAACCTAGATGAAGCGTTAACATGGGATTCGTAATTCACAGTGGAGTGCGAAGTAACCTAAACCGGGTTGGGTTGCTAATCTTAACGGACTGTCTTCGTACGTTTCCAAGTCTGGTGACCCCGGGGTTATTTTGATTAGGTTTATGACTGATTAAGCTTGTGGGACATGGGAATTTGACGTAGTTCCTTGTGATTTTTATTGTTGATTGTCTGGATCTGTTATAAGGGTTTGCTATTCTCTTATGATCAGAATAAAAATTGATAGCAGTATTGTAATAGTGGTTTCCTGAATGCTGAAAACTAATTATTCAGCATCATACTCGAGCTATTGTGCGAAAAGCCTACTGGTATCAGATGTGGTTTTAAATCTACCGGCCATCCCACAAACTCCATATCCTACCCCAAGCTGGCATTCTCTGTTTAAAAGTTTTATTTGACCATTAATAAAGTTGCATTGGTCTATCCTACTGAAATGAGTATATTAGTTTATTGTACTAATAAAGGCACTTTTTCTCCGTATAGATGGTCATTTTGGAGCTTATGTTGAGTTTTTGAGTTGTATGCATCGTACTGTCCGTTAGGATTTACTTCTGAAATTCACACACCTCTTTTCTAAGGATTAAATACTTGAATATTGTACCCCTGTTAAGTAAAAATTCTGATAACGTGTAGTCTCTCGAACGTTTTGAGTGGTAATTCGAGAAAACTTCAAATTTACTCCCCTTTTCTCAAATAATATTTGTCGCTTCACGACCGATTTACATTAATGCTACTTTTTTCAATAAAAATCGATGTGGTCATGCATGTTCATCACTTCAGTTGCCTGAGACGTTGCACCAATTTTGATGGGTTACTGTCTGACGAACTGTTACTGCACGTAGGAAGACCTTGATTAGTAATAGCGTAATATCCATGTACTTATTGAGAGGGAAACACCACACAATGTGCTCTGTTTTATCGTATCTATGATATATAACACTGGAGAATATGGTTTTAAGTACTGGATCATCCTTGTCTTCGTTGCATTGTATGTATGGTGAATTACCATGTGAAATGTACATGTTTGGTCACACAGCATCCAATGAGAGCAGCAAGTTTATTGGTAAGGTTGTTTACCTTCGTTGACTGAAGTTGGACATATTAAGCTACTACTGTAGTGGGCGTTGCTGATAAGAATAGATATAAGTAGTATACGTTGATGGGACGGCAGAAATCATAGGGAATTACCAGCAATAGGTAAGGCTTCTGACCAGAGAAACGTAACAGACAATGTGTTCGTACTAAGAGCGAATCAAGATAGAAAAAAAGAAGAGAGAATGAAGCACATTATATAGATGACCGTTCTAATAGGAAGTGTACAATACACGAGTAGTGTACAAAATGTCATAATAAACATTCTTTCCTTCATCTCTATCTTCTCGTTTCCTTCAATTGGTATCGCTGCTTTTGGACGTGATGAAATTTCCATCACATGCAGTGTTCGAGGATTGAGACATCAAGGTCTTCCTCAGGGACTTCGAGTCAGTCACTGAGCTGGTGGGTGTCCGGAATCCAGCAACGAAGGTTGTGGTGCTTGCCACGTTGCTGAGAGGTAGAGCGAAAACAGCATATGATGGCGTGGAACGTGTGGATGGAAGGAAGACGTGGAAGAGAGTGGTTGAACGCCAGGAAGCGGAGTTTGACAGCCCAGAGGACAGACAGCTGGCAATACAACAGTTCTGGAGCGCGAAACTTGGAATACACGAAGATCCACTAGTATTGGCTGTGAAGCTGACAAAACTACTTCGACGAGCACTTCCCACTTTGGATGCCGACTCTCAGGTACAGTTGTTGGCTGCAAAGTTCACCGAAAATGTCCCGACTGCCACTTCCCAGCAGCCACGACTAGTGAAGGCAGCCCAACCTATGGATATTAGTGAGCTGGCCAAGGTGACTGGACAGCTAGTGGGTAGAGCAGTGACTGCGCTGGAGCCACTAGAGGTAAATAACTGGAAAAAAACAAATCGATAACCTTCAGGAGGAGGTGGTTCCACTTCGTAGGAATATCAACAGACAGAGTAAATGCTTTGCATGCGGGAAACTGGGACACTGGCGAAGAAACTATCTGGAGAGGCGAAAAAGAGAAAGCTTTAAATGATTAAATGAGTTCATCAGTACTTTTAGGAAGAAAGTCAAATAGGAAATATAGATTCTGCGTTGATTTCTGAGAGTTAAATAGCATAACGCAACTGAAGACGTGTGCCATGCCGACAGTAGCTGAAACACTGGATCGTTTGCAGAATGCAAAAGTACTTACAGTTCTGGACCTCCGCTCAGACTACTGGCAGCTACCAATAAAAGAAAGCGGTGAAGCGAAAACAGCAGTTATTATGGGCTAGAAGCAATACCAATTCAAGCGAATGCCGTTTGGTCTTGCAGGCGCACCATTTACATTTAGATGGTTGATGGTGTTGTGGTTGAAGAATTTAGAGAACGTAGAGATGCATGGTGACAACCTGGTGGTGTACAGTCAGACGGAAGCAGAACATCTAGAATATGTGGGAGCTGTTTCAAGACTCGTTAACGAGTTTTGACTGAGCATCAATAAGACAAAATCTCAGGTAGCCAAGAAGTGTTACATTGCCAGGACATAAAGTTGGAAAATGTGACATAAAACCACTACCTGGGAAAATTCTGGTGGTCAAAACTATTCCAGTACTGGATTCAGAGAGGAAACTGCAAAAGTTCTTGGGTAAAATAGAGCCGCATTCTACAATCGGTTGCTCAAAAATTTCAATGAGATAACACCTTTATGTAGTCTACTTGGTAACCCCAAATTTACGTGGACAGAGGGGGCACAGAAAGTGTTTGATCATATCAAGGGACTCCTAAATAATCAGGAGGTGGGTTTTAAACCACCAATACCCTGGAGGCCATTCATCGTGTCCACCGATGCGAGTAATTATGGAATAGGCCCAGTTCTGAGACAATAAAGGAGCAGTGGAGTATGCCAGTCGTGTCCTGACACCTGCAGAACAAAAATATTTCACGGTTGAAAAAGAATGTCTGGCGATAGTTCAGGCGCTTGAGAAATGGAGATCATACCTCCTCGGTCAGCGATTCTACATTGAAACTGATCGTAAACCTCTCCAGTGGCTAGAGATAGTGAGGGGTCCTAGAGGAAAATTATCACGTTGAATGTTACGACTGCAAGAGTACTATTTCACAATCGGTCACGTTGCAGGGAAAGAAAACTGGTTGGCAGACTTCTTATCAAGATTAGACGAAGAAAATAAACTGTGTGAGATCGTATACGGTGTTCATGCAATGGGACGGGACCCATTAGGACTTATTCACCTTCAGAAGTGGGACCCTACACTCAAGGCAGTGAAAATAGCCATAACAGAAGGAACAGAAACAAACAATTCTGTGGGAAATAAAGAGTTGAAAATGTTGTTGACGCAGAAAGAACACCTACGGGTGAATACTTATAGAATGCTGACTTGGTTAGAAAACGACGGGAGCTGGTTGGCAGTGATTCCGAAATGTCTAGGCGATAAAATGATGCAGGAATGCCACCAGTTATCTCATACAGGTGTTTCACGGACAGCCGACCTCAGACAAAGTGCATACTGGCCAGGTATAAGAGATGTTGCCAAACATGTTCTGGGTTGTCCACATTGTCAGTTGATGGAAAGTGATCGGTACATACGACTGCCGTTTCAGTCGGTTCCAGTAGCAGCAGTGGGTGGGTAACATGTGATCTGTGGACGTAATGCAACCATTTCCTCAGACATCTATTTGGAACCAATACCTGTTGGTGATGACGAAGCATGCTACGCGATGGGTGGACGCTGTCGCGACTCCTGATCAATGCTCGAAGACAGTGACCGTGGTGGTGATGCGGCATATTGTCGCGGATGACGGTGTGCCGAAGATGGTATTGATTGGCCTAGGTACTTGTTTTGAGAATGAAGAATTCAAATTGTGTTTGGAGCAGCTCGATATCAAGAGGATGAGAACGACACCGTACTACCCAAAGACTAAGAAGTTGACAGGACGAAATAACCGTACACTTAAAGAGTGTCTGGCTTCGAAAACCAATGAGGAAATTGGGAGACGGAACTCCCGTTAATATTGTTAGCGCATCGTGTCTTGAAACAAGGAACAACCAAGCACCTGGTTGGGGTCTTCAAGACAATGTAAATCAATGATTGGAAAGTTTTGTTGATGTGGCCAAAAATCAGTCACAATGGCGCAAATGTATTCACTTTTTGACGTCTTTGAACATTTTCACCAACCTCGATTTTCGAATTCCTTCTTCCACATACCTTTGTCTATGATAACAGTCTTTTTCCATCCATTTGTTCTTTGCATGCTACTGTAATGTTTGACAAGTTGGACCGGCGTACTTTAGCATACGGCTGTACATCGATTTCGCCGTCATTGAATTACTTAGTCCTATCAAAACTTTTATCTCCTGTTATAGTGAAGTGCAGTTGGCTGACACCCTAATTTTACAAAAGGTCTTTTAAAAAGCAACAGGCAGTACAATATTCCTATGATGGTTTTCCCTCAACAACTCTTTTGAGTTTGCAGTTTGATTTTTTGACATGAGCGCTTTGTTGGTGTGGCCAATGTGATGGTTGCACTTTTTACTGAGTATCTGTGATGCTGGAACTGACTAAATGGTGCATTTTGGCCACCTTTTATTACGTTTATTTCCTTTCGTTCTATTTTTATATAGGCGAATTAGTACGTCTCTTAAGCTATAGTCCCGCTGGAGATTGGTCTGAGGTAGAAGCTTCTCTTGTCCTACCACCACTTCACAAAGCTGGACCAGGTAGCTCTACTTCCGGATCAGAAAGTCATCCATCTCAATGCAAAGGTGGAGGGAATATGAAGCATAACCAAGAGTCTGTTGGCGAAACTGGAGGCGGTATGAATGTTTCCGGCATGTATTTGTTTAACAATTACAGACGTGGATGGGTGCCGACGAGCTACCTAGCTACTGCAAATGTCTTTCGAAATTCTTTCCCTCAGAAACAAGCCTATCCTTCTCAGCAGTTAATTAGTTGTGACAATTCAGAAAAAATCAATTGTTCAGTTAATTCTTCCAACCTAATCAATCAACAAGTAGTTCCTACAAACGATCATATGCAATCAAGAGTTTTAAATATGCCAAGTAAAGGTCCACTTCACTCCGTTATGGTGGATTCCTCACCCTTAAGTCTTTTGGAACCAAGCCTTCTCCCTTACCCATGGTATCACGGTGCCGTTTCAAGGCAAGCTGGAGAACATCTTCTTCGAAGTGGTATTACGGGTTCTTTTCTAGTCAGAGCATCAGAGTCTGCACCTGGCCAACTCTCTGTTACTGTACGTCACTTAGGAAGAGTTTATCACTATCGGATTAGCCAAGATAGCCGGGGACTGGTATGTTTCTTGCATTTTCATTATATTTATGTATTAATATATTGTCAAATGAATGGTCTACTACAGATTTTCTTTGCAAACAAAACAATTTTGATGTTTTTAGAGAGAAGAAAATCATGTTTATAAAATTGATGGTTATCTTGTCCACCTGGTTTATAAAAGTTCCAACCGTCATAGTCTTTCTTTTTAAAAGTACATTTGTTTACATTTTTTTGTCCGGTTCTTGATCGCTGTTTTGGCTAGTTCTAGTAGACAGTTGTCTTCTGGAGTGTTTAGTTGTACCACCCCTCTTTAGCGGCATTTAGTCTATTTAATAATGTAGTAATTATTTGTAATGATGTTATAGCTGAATTTTAGTCCTGAATGATTGAACACTGGAATGAAATACGCAGCTTCAAGGTAAAAAATCTATGAAAAGTGGCATGAGGCTTACATGCTTACCATAATGCGAAATTGTGTACGCAAAATCGGATTCCACGAGTAAGTGAATAATAGCCTTCTCAACTTCGTGTAGCTAACATCAGGCAGAAGGTAGTGCTCAGATTAACTGAATTTGCTCCAACCAAAGACTGTGAATCTCCGCAACAGTTAATATACAACCAACCAAATGAAATAAAATATTAAAAGTGAAATAGTAGCAAGTAGGAAAAAAGCACTCCATGGGAAGACAAAATAAGATATGCATTGGAAGCCGATAAAGTTGTGGGAAATAGAAATGAAATTCTGTAAAATTAAATGTGCAAAATATAGAGAGTTGGGTCCATTTTCAGCAGTCAGAAAGCCCCAACAATACACTAGCGGACTTTTAAAAAATCTAAAGCATAGATTGAGTCAAGCCTTATTTTAATTGATTCAATTAAATACAAAAGCTTAGTTACGTGACGGGGTTTACACACTTACAATTCTGTATAAATAAATCACTTACAGTTTTGCATATTGTTGAACTTCAGAAGATAGTCTTTTTCAAAACCAATAGTGTGGTTCCCGTTGAAGAGGTTATGCAGTACTATCATGGTGTTTTATCTGTTTTATCATGATGGTTAATACTTTACAGCCAAGTCTCCGATAGCGGTTCTAACCACTTCTGAACTATTGAGGAAATAAAAATACTTGCCTACCTAGATCTAACCTATCTTTGATGACCTGCCTACTATTCACTTCTCGCCGTTAAGCCTCGGAACACGTGGCTACTTCAGAATTAAGTAGAAAATAAGACAAGATTTTGAGTAGAAAATAACATTCGCCAACCTTCTGACTCAAGTGTTTATAGGAAATTAAATCTATCATCTATGTACGAAAGATGTAACCAAGGTAGTAAGGACATGACCTATCAAATAATAAGTAGAGTCAATTGTTGGTTATCGAGTAGTTGACAAAAGTGTTAAGTATGTTGGATTTCTCTGTTCTTGTTTGCTCTTGACCTTGTTCGTTCACTATTTGCCATTACACTACTGATGAAGCCTCCGTATCCGTACATATATATATATATATATATATATATATATATATATATATATATATATATATTATTTGTCATTTGTTTTTAACTCATCTGCGACTACTTTCTTACTGATGCTTACGACTCAGTATTGCATAGAACAACATATTCGTTTCTTGACTGGATCACCGAAACGCTTATTTGTGTCTTTTTAACTTCAAAAGAAGGATTTTGTCACCAACGGTGATTTTCTTAAGGACTATTCAGACAGAAATCTTGAACCCAGCTGAAGATCTGAATGCACAGCTCAGGTGCCTGATTATGAAAGAAAGTCGTTTGAATGACCAACATCGATAATCTATGGGATTATCACTTTCTTATTATCTAGTCTGAGCTGTACACATCGATTTGTATCCGTGTAGGATGTCCACTCTCTCCAGTCCTGTTCATTTTTGTGCTATGAACTTGTACCTTATCATCTGACATTACAGGGAATGATCTAGTCACTGAAGAATCCTTGGTAGGTCTAGAATACTCAGATAACATAGTCCTGTTAGGTGAAGACACTGACAACATGCAGAGCCTTCTAGACACCTTGAGTGGCAATCGGAGAGTGTTTGCGATCCGTTTCTCGCCACCCAAATGCAAATTGCTGCTCCATGACTGGTCTTCAACGATGCCCTGTCTAACAGTAGGGTGAAGCAGTGGAGCGCGTTCAACACTTCACTTATCTTGGAAGTCGGAATAGTCTTGGTGGGTCAGTGACCGACAAAATATCTGCATGAGTACAGAAGGCCCGATTGGCTTTCGCCAACTTACACCGTCTGTGGCATCACCGCGATATCCGATTGTCGATTAGGGATCAAGTGTACTGTGCTGCAGTTCGCACTGTTCTATTGTATGGCCGTGAGACATGGTCATCAAAGGTAGAGGAAATGGGGAAGGCTTCTGGTGTTCAACTACTGTTGCTTTCGTAGCGTGGGCCGTTATGCCGTGGTGTCACCACTTGAGTAATGCAGAAGTCAGGTGTAGAGTTTTAGAGAGGAGTGAAAAGTCAGTTGATGAGGTGACGAACCTTCATCGACTTAGATGACTGGGATGTGTGTTACTCATGCCTACTCATCGCTTGCCTCGTCGCACAGTGTGATCTGAAGTAAGTTCGGGCTGGAGAAAGGCTTGGGGTGGCCAGACTAAAGTATGGCATCAGTGCATGAGATCCCTGACTATTGGTTTGAGCCATGTAGGGAGATGCTAGGCTAGCCATTTGTGTTCTATGTGAGGATAGAAACTAGTGTTTGGAGACTAGGCGTTATGGCTCAGAATCGATGTCACTGACACAGATATATACACAGTTTATTTTCATCTTAGCTGCTATGCTGAATTCAGCATTTTCTTATTCTTCCTTCCTCTCCTTTATTGCTTTCTACTACTGGGGAAAGATTTTTCTTTCTTTCTTAATCTTCCATAATACACTTATTTGCTTGTGCTGATATGAGGTGTGACAACTTGGACCGTTGAGCAGTAATGCCTGGTCCTATGTTGATATTGATTGATTGCTCATTATCCTTTTTCTTTTTCTTGCTGTTTGTATTGCTTTTTAGTATATATATATATATATATATATATATATATATATATATATATATATATATATATATCTTCAGCCTGTGTAAAAGCTTTCAGTGAAAAGCCTTGTTTTCACTATGCTCTTCTGAATTTCTCTACCAAGACAAATTATATTTGCAGCAGGTTTGGCTTCAGTTAAGTTTGTATGGCTGACGGTTTTGAGACTGTACGACAATGTAAACCTATGGTTGTTTTCTTATATTTGTATGTAAAACATAACGGTCCGGTACAGTGTAAGTATGAGAGATAAATGTAGTTATAAATAATAGATATAAGTAGCAACAATAATCATCTCAAAGGGAATGGTGTTAATCAGTTCAATCAAGGAATATATGAATTTTCGTTTTTTTCGATGCCTTAACTTATTAGTAATGAGACAAAGATAACTACAACAGAAATGCCAGCTGACTTCGGTTTTGAGCTGTTCTTGGTATTGTCCCAAGTCACTTACTTGAGTAATCTTTAGTATCTTATTTAGGGAGTTATGTCAGCATATGCTAACATAGCACATCTATCCTTTATTCCTTATTTACATCTTCATAATGCTGATAGCCTTTTCTCTTTTTTTTCGACTGGGATCATTAAGTAATCTTCGGTTTGCGAGGTATCAGGACGACAAGCGCACCTCAATACTATTTGTATAATTTTTTAAACTTATAATCAGTTTTGTGCATATCAGCATTCTATCTTTTCAACTAACCATCTTAATACCATGGGTTTGTGGCTCACTGGTTAAGGTAGTTGACTTTCTACCGGTAGGTCACGGGTTCGAGTACCACTCCACTTCCGAGGTTTGGACAGTAAGGTAGCATCATTAGCCCTTACACAACAAGTGTCTCATAGCCTACTTCGTGAATGTACACAAGGTTGATGAGTGGATTTCGATATTTTTCGTCTTAACATGGCTTGACTAGATCTCAAGAGCAGCAAACTTGAGAAAACCAGGCGGTTTTCAGACCTAGAAGAGGGTGCATCAATCATATTTTCATCCTATGGCAGATCCTAGAATACAAGCATACTTACCAGAGGTAGACACTTGCCATATTTCTCGATCTAAAGGCGGTATTTGACTCTTGACCGTGAGGTGTTGTGGCAATGTCTGACTGTGAAACGAGTACCGAAAAAATATGTAACACCCATCAAAGCTCTCTCTCTGTCTCTCTCTACTTAAACTGTGTGAGGGATAATGGAGAGTTATCATCTGAATTGACGACAATTAGTGGTGTCTGGCAGGGATTCCCACTGTCACCATTCCTGTTCAGCTTCATTATAGATGTATTAATGACCATATCCTTAGGTTCTTCTGACTTCACAGGGATCCACCTATTCCCTGGAAAGTATCTGTTTGACCTTGAGTGTTCAGACAATTTTGTCCTGCTGAGTGAAGACACTTATATGACAAAATCCAGGGTCTTCTAAACGGGTTGAGCAGAAATCTGAGAATGTTTGAAGTGCATTTTGCACCAGTCAAATGTAAAATGATGACTGACCGATAAAATCAACGCAGAACCTCGCAAAGAAACGCATTTGCTCAAGTGAACACACTTCACAGAAGTACGCCACCCTTAACCCTCTTACAACCTAATCCAACTTCCCCAGCACTGCACATCGACATAAGTGGTGACTCGGCATGCGCAGTAGATGTCTAAGCTATCTCAGTCGATGAGGTTTCAAAGCCTCATCAATCAAATTGTTTGTCTTGCGTAGCAACCTTCGCCTGACCTCAACACTACTCACACAGTAATTCCACTAAATGCGAGCGATACTACGAAGACATTTGTGATAAAAACCGTACTACCGCTTCATATCTCTCACTATACACGACCAGGTCTCACAGCTGTGCACTCATACACAACGGATTACACCTCAGTATACTTGTCCTTTGATTGATAACCGGATATCTTGCTGACGTTGCAGGCGATGCAAGTTGTGAAAT